CATGTATAATCTGAAATCCGGTAATTTTGACCCGGTTCAAACTGGAAAAAAGTTACAGACAAAAGGTATGTCTTTTTTTTGTGAAGAATCCGAATCATCCCACTTAAAAAAATGCACTTCCGGTCAGTATAACCCATTTCCGGCCGAAACCGAAAGTCGGTGATACGACCAAAAGATAGAGCGTCCTCGACTTGGAAATTCATGTTTTTTCCTTTTCCAAAAAAAATATTTTCGTCCATTTTAGAAAATTCTTTTGATTGTTGTTAAAGCACATTCTTTTACAAAAACAACAAGCATCAAGGAACAAAATTGATTGATAAATAAAGTTGTAAATGGTTTGAAAATATTGGTTCTGTACGTTATGCGGACTGCGCCCCCCTTGTGGACGGGCGGGAATGGAGGGCAAAAACCCGTTGGGATTATTATTAAAGGAAAATGCGTAATAATTTATTTTTTATGAAATACTAGCAGACACGGCGAACTTCGTCCTGCTCAAAATAATTTTTATACCCGAGCGCACTTGTGCACAAGGGTATTATAACTTTGTTCACATAACGGTTGTTTGTAACAGGCAAAATGAATCCATATAGATATAGACAATTGTATACATAAATGATCCGAATGAAAAGAGAAATCGATTAAGCGGTGACTGTCTGTCCGTCCGTCTGTGCACACGATAACTCGAGTAAAAGTTGAGATATCTTAACGAAACTTGGTACGTGTACTTCTTTTCTATTTTAGTAACTACTGAAGCTTATTCACTCAAAATTGATATTTACAATCATTTTTGGACGAAAAATAGGAATAAATATTATACATTTTTGGAAAATGGGCGTAGACACGCCCACTTATAATTATATGCTTATGATCATATATATGTATCTCGGTAACCGTTCTACCAATTTGTACCAAACTCGGTATGATTATTGTGCTTGCCACATAAAGACGTTGAAAATTATTGAAACCGGGCTAAAATTACGCCCACTTTTCATATAACGGTAAATTTCAGAAATGCTTGAAATTTCTATGTTTCTCAATTTAAGGACGCTAATTTACTCAAAATTGATAGTAACAAAAATCCCTTGAAAATAAGTAACATTATTTAGAATTTTGGAAAATGGGCGTGATACCTCCCACATATGACTACATAAGCTTATCTCATTATATCTAACCGAGCGTTCTATCGAAGATATTTAAAATGGGGGTAAAACCACCCCTGCTTTCCATGTAGTGGTAGTTTTCGGAAAGGTGAAAAACATATATTTAATACTTGCGCCGGGTATTTTATGTGTTCCACCCGAACTCAGACTTTCTTATTTGTTTTTTTTTTTTTATTGAAACATATTGGTCCAACAATTTCACCATCAATTTACGTGCTAATATTATGGTTTTGTGGTCGTCGGAAGGCATACTTGCAAGGCCGTCTTAAATAACCTAATGAAAGTGTTATGTCCGCGAGGAAGTTCTTGGAATGTCCCCAATTATCTGGCGTTTCATAGCACGATTAATCGAATAACAAAATAAAGTTTAAGAATTTTTTCCTCTTCACTCCCTTGCGGCAACATTGACCCGGTTCGATGTGAATCTGTCCTTGAAACTGTGTAGTATACTTAGTGGCAATTTCAAAATGGGTGAGCATCGTTGTTCTACATAAATGGAATATACATAGACTTGTTTCAGACGAAATACCTTAAATGTCTTATCAAGGAGTGCAATGGCTCTGATAGTCGATTTAACGGCGGCCGTTTGATTTGGCCCCTAGACAACTCAATCCTGGTGCCTCCCGATGAAGCTTTAACGCATATTAATATCACAACTCACGGGTAGTCGGTATATTCAGTGGGGCAGCAGGTAATCGGACATTCTCGACACTTTTTCTCACTTGGCGGCTCTTTTTTGCAAAAGTATTACCCTCGGGAAAGTCCATAGTACTAGGTGTCTGAAAAATTGGTACAACCGTTTTCGAGCTTTGCGAACAGAAAAAATCGCCTGTCAAAGTATATAATTATTAGTATAGATGACTCGAACCCTACGCTCCCTATATGACAATTTTTTCACAGGGACATATTTCTTTTCTTTACCGTCGGACTGTAAATACAATTTTTAGTAATAACTCAATTCCACCGCCACCTATCGGGGTATTATCTTCGTAACATTTTTCTTTGGGCAAAGACAAACATAACTAAAAACAAGTAAAGAAGTATAACTTCGGGCGAAACCGAATTTTATATACCCGGCGCAGGTATCAAATATCATCGTTTCAACTTTCTCTGAACTACCCTTGCATGATAAGAAGGGGTGTTTATTCCTATTTCAAACGTTTTCGATAATATGCTGACTTAATGAAAGCATTGAGCCTAGTTTGGTAGAAATCAATAAAGCGGTTACCGAAATAGACCCTTGTAGTCATAAAGTGGGCGGTATAATGATGAAGATAATTATGATAATAATGATAGAAGTGGTATTTAACTTGTAATAAATGATGATTAGGATTTTAACAAATTATCATTAATAATAAAAATTATTTATGGGAGAAACAACTAAATTTTAACTTTTCTCGCTCTTTAATAACGCCATAAAAACCTACATAAAAAACAAGTAAGAAAGTCTAAGTTCGGGCGGAGCCGAACATTAAATACCCGGCGCAAGTATTAAATATTTGTTTTCCACCTTTCCGAAAGCTACCGCTACATGATAAGCGGGTGTATAAATTTTAAGTAAACTAGCATCTTTAAATTTCGAAATATTGAAATTTAAAGCATTTCTGAAATTTACCGTTATATGAAAAGCGGCCGTAATTTTAGTACGATTTCAATAATTTTCAACGATTTGGTTTTATGTGGCAAACACAATAACCATACCTAGTTTGGTACAAATTGCTAGAACGGTTAATGAGATGCATATATGTGGTCATAAGTGGGCGGCGCCACGCCCATTTTCCAAAATTTTATCATGAACGTATTTCATGGTTAAGAATTGTTGCAACCATCAATTTTGAATAAATTAGCTTTTATATTTACTGATTTATCGAGGATTTTGTATTTCTCGAAATTACCGTTATATGGGATGTGGGCGTGGTTATTTTCCGATTTTTAAAATTTTCGGCCATTTGGTATGCTGTACCAGGGTCAACAACTGTGCCAAGTTTGGACGAAATTGGTGCAGCGGTTACCAAGATATACACATGTAACTATAAGTGGGCGTGGCTACGCCAATTTTCAAAAAGTTTTTAATATTCTTATTTTTCGTCTAAAAGTTATTCTAAATGTCAATTTTGCGTGCATTATCCTCAGTAGTTACTAAACTATCGCAGCTTTCGTATTTCTGAAAATTACCGTTATATGGGAGGTGGCGTGGTTATTGTCCGATTTCGCCCATTTTCAATACCATCCGTCCTACGGCCAAAAGAAGTGCACGTACCTAGTTTCGTTAAGATATCTCAATTTTTACTCGAGTTATCGTGTGCACAGACGGCCGGACGGACGGACGGAAAGACAGTCACCGCTTAATCGATTTCTCTTTTCATTCTGATCATTTATGTATACATTTGTCTATATCTATCTCGATTCGTTTTGCCTGTTACAAACAACCGTTATGTGAACAAAGTTATAATACCCTTGTGCACAAGTGCGCTCGGGTATACAAATTCCCACTAAACTATTTTCGGATTTGTCTCTTTTTTACTTCATTTGATGCTAGTTATACAAATACATCAAAATATCGACTTACTTGCCCATATTCCATTTGCTTACACGCCATTTGCATTAGGAATGGAACTTTTCCAAGTATTAATCGAAATAGAATAACATGAAGGTATCGAAAATAGCCTGAGATCACCAAAACCAAATCAATTTTAGTCAACAATGAAATCATAGATTTTTGAATTTAATATATTACCAAATAAAACTAAAACTTTCTGGAGCTAAAAGGAGCTAGATAACTCTCAAAAGAGCTAAAAAAAAGAGCTAGGAGCTAAATCCCAATTTTCGGAGCTACTGTTTCTGGCTAGTATATTTCGGGAGGAATGGATAAGGATTGGGCCAAGAGCTTGTGTGAGCAAATCTAATTTTTGGCAAAAAATACGTGGTTTTGTACTTCAAACAACGATATGTGTATTTGCGTGGAAATTATTACGCATTTTCATTTGACCATTCACAACTTTATTTATCAATCAATTTCATTCGTTGATAGCTTGATGTTTTTGTAAAAGAATAGGCTTAAACGTATTCGTTTCTAAATTGTAATAAAAATTGTACATAAGCAGACTGCCTACAATGTGCTTCACAAATCTTAAATTGATCAGCGGTGTTTTAAACAATTATTTGGAGGAAAAAGTTGGAATTTTTACTCCTCGGCGGGAAATTTTTGCTTTATTTCTCTTTAAATACATTTCTCAAAAATATTAAGGTAGGTGTTAAAAAAGCTTAATAAAAAGGCTATCAGAACGATATGTCAGCCTAACTGAAAAGAAAAAAAATATTTCAAAACCGAATAGCAAGAAAAGATCAAAACTTTTTTAGCGCTATAGGTCAGGATTACATGAGAAATTTTAAAATTACAGCTTCAAAATGAGCTCAATACTACCATTTTTCATCGAAATACAGCCTGTCGGAATTCAAAGAAAAACTTGGATCTTTTTGTTCGCTGCCTTAATTTTTTTGAGTAGTGAGTAGTACCTATGTACATGGGCGTAGCCAGGTAGGGGAAGGGGGGGTGCTCGAGCATCTTTCAAAGTTTCCTTATATATATATAAAATAGTACCCTGAAATGCCGGCTTAATAGGGTCGAGCCCCCCATAAATTTCATTCTGGCTACGCCGATGCCTATGTACATTGGCAGGTAAAGCCAAGCCAACATGTTTATTCTTTAATATAGAAACCACCTGAACCACTTTGGGAATCACCGGTCTACAGCCACGAAACAAACTTGATGCTCTCCAAATCTGTCCCAGCGATACGAAGAATTTAAAATCAAATGTATAGATATACCTATGTACTTACCTTAAAGCTGAAGACCTGTACGCCATGCAGCCCAGATATTTTCTTCATTGTAAACATATTAGCTCGTAACGAAACGGGATGTGTGCGATTGAAGTCCACTTGTGTAGAGGCAATGTGGAAAGTGAGATTTTGTCGGCGAGTGTGCACGCCAAATACATCCAAGTAGTATGTTAGATTTGGCAGCACGCCCTTCAGTAGCTGCTGAGTGTGAGGACCCGTACAGATAATGTTGGTGGTGCGTGGATCTTTGTGGGTATGAGAAAAAAATACCAACGGCACATGAAAAATTTTCAATGAAATATTGGCTGGCTGTAATTCAATAGCGACTCACCAATTTTCTTAGCACGATCCGGAGGCTTCAACCAGATATAATCCATCAAAGATCCCGAGTAGCAGTTGGTCGGTGCGTCAGCATCTACGTGGTGTGCTGTACTCGTGAAGTATTCGTTGACGGCGCTGCAGAAATTCAATTGTCGCTGGCCTGTATTCACAACCAGACAGTAGTGGACTGCATGGAAATCGAATTTGCTGCTCCACGACGAGGACGAAGGCAGTGAAGGGAAGTAAAATAATGGTCACAAACTCACTACAATCATTTTACCTTTGGGTATATGCTCACCTCTTGTCCCACTTGACTATCATTTGGCGTTTGCGTACCCAATTCTGACTGCGTATGCTGATGTGGTGCGGGCGATTGAGTAGCGGCCAGCTGGATTGCGGATGTTCGGCACGTGCTTCAATTTTGATAGAGCCTCGCTGACGGGCTTGCACAAAAATATCGTATTGGCCACGCAGTGCACAAGGCAATACCACAGTGCGCTGATCCGACATAAGTGACCGCGATAAATTTACTGCAAAATGAAGTTGGAAAAAAGCAACAAAAAGTGAACATTGCAAAAAAGATGAAGTCGAAGAGTTATGCGAAATGAGATCAAGCAAGAACGGACGTTGGATGGAGGAGTAAGATGTAGAATGTGAAAAAGTATGTAAAGAAAGAGGTTTAAGTCCGAAAGCCTCAATGCGTAAAATTGAGTTTAGTGCACAACCGTTCGCCTAGGCCAGATATACGAGTATTTGTCACGGGGAAGTAAAAAAAAACTACCGCCGCTGGGCTGAGATAGCTATGGGTTGTTTGTTTTTTAATTTATGGCTTTATTGAGAATTTTTATAAATTTCTACGTATATGGTTTCTTCTTCTTTATTGGCGCCGTAACCGCCTAAGTAATTTTGGCAAAGTCAAAAACAGAACACCAGACGTTTCTCTTCTGTGTCAAATGACGCCAACTGGAAATGCCAAGCCCTTTTCTGTCTTTCCAACGTAGAGGAGGCCTTCCTCTGTTACCAGCATCGTGACCCGCGTTAAATACTTTCCGAACTGCAGCGTTTCTGTCCATTCCAACAATATGACCTAGCCAGCGGAGCCGCTGAATTTTAATTCGCTGCACCATGTTTATATCGTTTTACTGCTCATCGTTAAATCCTCTGCGGTATCCACCATCGCCAACGCGGTAGGATCGTAAAACTTTCGCAGAATCTTCTCAAAAACTCCAAGAGTCACTTCATTAGATGTTTTCATTGCCCATGCCTCATTTTTTACGGGGAGATATGACTTTACCCCTCAGTTGCCTACTCAGTTCAAAGTTGCACTTGTTGGCAAGAGTGACTCTCCGTTGGATTTCAAGGCTCACATTATTTTTGGTGTTAATGCTCGTTCCCAAATAACGAAATTTTCCACTTTTTTAAACTTGTATCTGCCAACAGCGACGTGGGTGCCGAGACGCGTATGCTGTGACTGTTCGAGTGATGACAGGAGATACTTAGTTTTGTCCTGGTCCACCACCAGACCCATTCGCCTTGCTTCTCTATCTAATCCCGAGAATGCAGAACAGACGTATCCTTTGCTTTCGCCGACAATTTCGACTATATCAGACTAAAGAAATCACATGAAAGTGAGTCGACCTGTCTGAAACCTCGCTTGGTATCAAGCGGTTCGGAGAGGGTCTTTCTCAATGCTGGCGGAGCTGGTTGTATTGCTTAAAACCATTTTACACAGTCCTATCCGCTTCGCGGGGATACCAACTTCAGTCATCGCGGCATAAAGACAACTTCTTTTCCTGCTGTTGAAATCGACAAATAGATGGAGTCTGCCGATTCTATTCTCAAGGGCCTTTTAAAAGACTTGGCGTATTATGAATACTTGGTCTATGGTGGATTTGTCAGGTCTAAAGCCAGACTGATAAGATTCAATCAGTTCGATTACGGTGGGCTTCAGTATTTCACGGAAGACACTCGATAAAATTTTGTAACCTATGCCTAGAGGGCTGATCCCGCGGTAGGTGCCGCGTATGGCGGGTTACCTTTCTTGTGAATTGGGCAGAGTACACTTACATTCCAGTCGTCGGGCATGCCTTCAACTGACCATATTCTGCATAAGAGATGCATGTACCTTACAAGCTCCTCGCCGCCGTACTTCAATACAGGGCTTCGGAGCGGAGTGGAGCAAAGGAGCAAGGAGCTAAGGATCATAGGGTTTTGGCTGGAGCGGAGCTGTAGCAAAGAGCTAAAAAAGTTCAACTTCTCCTTAGATCCGTAAAGAAAATTAAATTTATTTATTTCATTATATTTTATTATATTTTTACTTAGAAATAGTGTTCATTGCACAATGCCCAGCAGTCAGGGGTAATTCCAATGAAAACCCAATAGGGCTGTTCAAGATGTTGTGGAAATGGTCTTGGGTTTGCAGTTGAAATTGCATTTGCGCACATTTTTTGCTGCACAGGGGATATCTTCGCTGCAACAAGATAGTGGTCCGTTTCTCGTTTTTCGATCTGGAGACGGCCATGAAGCTTGATGGATATTTTTGTTTTCGAACCTAGTACTACATAGAACGGTTTTTCGAGCGCCGGCGAAGTCGATCAGCCTCGTTTCGTCGTGGAGGCTCAATTTTCCGACAGTGGCGCCAAAGATCCCTTCCTTGCCAACCTTGGCATTGAAATCGCCAAGCACGATTTTTATATCGTGTCGGGGGCAGCGCTGATATGTATGCTCCAAGCGCTCATAGAAAAGATCTTTGGACGCCTTATCCTTCTCCTATGTCGGGGCATGAGCACAGATGAGCGAAATGTTGAAGGATTTCGCTTTGATGCGGATTGTAGCTAGAAGTACGTCCACGGCAGTGAAAGCCAGTACTCGGCGACGGAGTATTTCTCCCACGACAAATTCAACACCGAGTTTGCGCTCCTTACGTTTTTTTGTTTTCTGAACATTAAAGAAAAATTGAAATAAGCTCCTATTTCATTTTCCAAGTATGTTAGTTTGCAAGTCCCGAAAAGATATAGTGATAATTGAAGAGGTAGATGCAATAACGGCTCAAAGTGAGATGTGTGCTTAAAAATTGTCAAATTCATAATACTAGTAATAACTCCCCCGAAATTCGGGTGAATGCATTAAAGAAATACTTGCAGATATTACGTATTTAAAAAATAAACGTGATATTCATGAACCTACTTCAGGGGTATTCCATTAGTAAGTGAAACTATGTGTCCAATTATAGAGTGACTTATTGAACATGGAATGCTTGACGAATCAATGCTAAATACCTCAAATTAACGTACTTTCGAAGAAAAAATTTAGTTATATTATTTTATTACACCGTAAATGGACACCAAACTTCAATATTAGAAAAGTAATTGAATGCGACAATATATTTTAATACAGAAAGATCTGCAAAATCAAGTATTTATAAAGTAATTTTTTTTTTAAGTGGGGAATAAATGTCTCGATCTGCCTTCGTCCCAAAGAAGCAACTTGGCATTGAAGAAAAATAGGCATCTAAATTATATTAAGGGATGAAATCACTACGGTTTTGCATGTCACACCCGTGACAAAAAAGTTTTAAACTTCGTATTGCTTAGTTACTACTTAAGGGATTTTTCTATAATTTCATAACTAGAGTATGTTTATACTATGCAGCCTTATTTCATTTCTTTTATTATATTATAAGTACCAACTTTAGAGATTTTGAAACGTTTTATCGTGTCCCGCCCGTGACAATCACTTATAAATTTTTTCTAATGGTACCTAACAATAAAAAAATAAGTTTAACACTTCAAACCTATGTTTAATGCCACAAAACTTTGAAGTCCAGATTGACTAAATACCATAATACTGTTGATGGGCCAAGCGATGTAGTAAAAAATTTCGCGTGGTCAGCTCGAAAAGTCAAGGTAAATATTACTATCATAGAGAAGCCAGAGAATTCTATGATGAGGGTTGCTTAACAACAATCTAAAAGTCAATACTAACAATTATGGTTTCACCAAAGAATAGCTAAATTTGAACCTGATTTGTCTCTTAGGGCCGGTTACTCAATGTCTGGTTAACACTAACGGCAGGTTAGACATCGCTATCGACGTGATAATAGTAGTCGATGTCCATGTTTAACCTGTAGTTAGTATTAGCCAGACATACATAGCTAGTCTATACAAACTTGAAAATCATTAAGACACACTCGAAATTTCGTTGCAATCAAATGCACCGTGCAAAAATGCCTTTGGAAAATGCATATGAGATTGCATGCGTTTGCAAATAATCCTTTCTTCCATGCCCCCTAAAATAGATCCTGAGGGCATCACTATATCGTGCGTCGTGCAATGACTTTATTGTGATAAAAGTGGGTCAATTGATCTTGTATTTGGCCTCTAACATTTATCATACCTAAGCCGTTTGATATGGATATTACTACAAGCTCCATTTCATGAAGAAAATCGTACGTGTCCCACCCGTGACAAAAGTTGTCCCACCCGTGACAGGAGAACTTTGAATTTTTTTGTAATAAACAACTAATTCTTGTTATGGTTTGTGCTTTGTTAGGACTGCTGGTTCTTTTCTGTATAGTAAAACATCTAATTCAGAAAGAAATGTGTCTCTTCTTTGTCCTACCCGTGACGGTAGAAACAGCTCAGAATTTTCCCATATAAAATCAAGTTGGAATATTTTTCGTATTTGGTAATAACTCGTATATTAGTGAACTAGGCGTAGCTTTATCAAAATATAGAATTGCTTAGTACTCTATACTTAAATTTAAAAAAGAAAAACTACTTTAGCTGTACAAATGTCCCACCCGTGACGATGGAATACCCCTTCAGTATTTAGCCCAAGATTTATTTAAAGAACTTCGTGAAAGACAACATTTAATCTTGTATTGCTAGAGACCTGATAACCCAAGATAATTTTTAAGTTCTTTAAGCGCCTTACTCTACTCATAGCTTCGTACAATGGGCCGTGAGAAAACAGTATTTTTTAAGGTAGATATAGTCCAACCCTCCACAATATCTGGCCAAGGGCTTTATTAGTCGTAGTCTGAAACGCAATAATCACTTAAAATTTGCGCCATTTCATGCTGAAAGCCATTAAGTTTCACGCTTTTAAACTAAAGCTTTCTTAGCCCATTCAGTACAAAAGCTCAACTACTGATTATAAAAATATTAAAATACCGGCTAATTTGGATCGTTCATTTCAAAAACCCCACCAAAAATTTTTTATAGTTTTTAGTTTTACGGTCATCCAGGGTGCTTCAAATTTGTCAGTGATATCCTGTTTAAAGAAGAAAGTGATCTCAGCTATTTTTATTTTTTACTTTTGCGAAATATATTTCAAATCTATGAATAATACGAACCCGAATCACAGTTCCATGGAGAATTGGTAAATATTTTTCAACAGATTACACTGCTCACTATCGACTTTTCTGCCACGTTCCTGACAAACGCGGTGACCTGCAGCTTGCACTTTAATTTGATGTATAACTGCTGCAGATCGCCCTAACTAAGTCGTATGGCTGAGCAATTATATATAGATTCCCTTTTCGCACAGAACAGGATTTCTATAAGCGAGTGCTATTAGAAGTAACATATTTGTATTTGTATTTGTGAAGTCAGTGCACTAACAAAAATATTGTTTTGTTCTTAGCTTCGACTTATTTTCCTCTCCTTACTTTTGTTGGATTACATATTTTGTTATATAACAGTTTGCGAAATTGTACTTAATGAAATGATGCGTTCTTTTCTTTTATAAAGAGTTTAATATTTTTTAGACACATTTTTAATAAAAAGCAAAACTTTGTTTGCTAATTTTTACAAGCATAAGATATTCGATTCCGGGATCCCGCAGACGTATACAAGTACTAGGTGGATGTGTGATAACGACGTTAGCATTCATACTTGATGGTCAAAAACTAGGAAGAACTCCGTAATTTTACATAATGGTAGATAATGGTAGAAATTTTTTAATAGCGACTTAAATTATACCAACTTTTTTAATTTTTTTATTTCCTTAAATTTAAGAAGTACATACGGATTTGTAGAGTACCATTGTATGTAACTAGACTGCGGAGTTCTATGCAAAATGCAGAGCCTAGAAATATAAGCTACATAACCATAAGCAAAGTGTATAAATTTGTATACATTTTGTTTATAGTTAAAAGGCAAGTACACATTTTTTTAGGCATATGAAGACACTGCCGAATAAATTGAAATCAAATAATGCATCAAATCTATGCATGTCAGCACAAGCGACACGTGCGACATAGTCAGCACTATTAATTACATTACGGCTGTTCAGGATATTGTGCATATGATCTTGCATTTGCATATTTCGGTACATTTGTAAATTCAAAACAATGAAATGCAAACGGTTGCCATGATAGTAGGGCTCAAATTTTCAAATGCAATTTCTAATGCAAAACCAAGACCAATTTCCTGAACAGCTCTATTGTATATACGTGAAGAGATTTTGCAAATTTTGCAAGCTCATATTATAGTAAAATTCATTAAATAATTGTCTAATTAAAAATCGATATATATTTTGATACAAGCCAGGATCATTCAGTATTGAAAATATGCTGCAAAAACACAACAGCTAAGCTAAGCTGCAATGACATGCAATAACAGTATGTTTGAGATGGAATGACATCGCATAACACCTTGTTTGAGTTGACATGTCATAGCAATGCATGAAATTTTTGAAAATGACATTTTTACAGAATATGTTGAATACTGCAGTACTTTAATGCATACATACATACATATGTAGTGAACATCTTGCTTTATTACTCACCTGTTTGATTGAAGTAAATCTTGCGTACAACTTGCTGCGAAAAATGTATGGCCAGCGGTGCAGATTTATTGATGTATAGTAAGAATCTGAAAACAATGAAAGAACACTTGGAATTAATATATAAGAGAAATGAATGGAAAGCGGAAAAAACTAGTACATACATCAAAAGTTGTTTCAAGCATCTTCTCAGTTTTATTTTAACAATCAATCGTATTTGTGATCGAGGCAGATGTAGACATATGAGGAAATCTCACGAGTTGATAAATTTTTTACAAAAACGTGTTTTTGGGCGAAAATGGTTGTTGAAATTCATTGCAGAGAAATTTTTGTACTTGGGCATTTCATTGCCAAAGATTTTATTTCAAAAAGTGCTTACGAGCACATGCCACATGAAGAAAATTACTTTATTCGCAAAAATAGCTTACTCCACGTTGTTTTGAGCAGATATTTTATAGAAAAGCACAACTCTATAAAAATTCAAAGTTTAAACATGCTGTGAAACTACCCTCCAGTACTGCTGGAGTCAATCGCTACTTTTGAACCGTTTCCGCACCGACTCCTAGGTAAGTAGCTACTCTATTAAACCCGTGGTAGTGCACATGGTAGTGCAGAGTCGAACCAGTCGTAAGCGGGATAGCGAAAAACTACGACAGAGGGCGCCCATAAACCACGCAAGAGACTACTTTAGTAACTCCCGGTAGTGCAGAGAGAGCCGATGGTGACTACCGCCTAGGACATTGCCTTGTAAAAGGAATCCCAAGCGATATCCCCTGCTATCTATCTCCTGCGATGGCGATGAGCGGTCTCCACAAGCGATTAATCGCCGGAGATCTATCGCAGCAGCTAAACAATCGCTAATGGAGACAGTTAGATAGTACATTATCTTCAGTTTTCGTAAAGCACAAGATTTCATTGCGAAATTGTATTTAAACCAGGGACAGAAAATAATCATTATTTTTTAAATGTTGTAATCATCGTAAAACAATTTGACTATATACAGTGGAATATTCATTTAATTTTTTTTTTACTGATTCAATTATAATCTCTATTTTTTTAGTTGCAAAACTAGCATAGATATCCACCCTGTCGTCGGTAATCCAGTCACCGAAAGAAGTTCTTATTCATTTTAACAGCCCTATTCGTATAAAACCTCACAACTGAGTTGTGAGCAAAAATTTGTGAGATCTCTTGTGAGGTCTATTTTGTGAGGTTATTCTTGGCCAGATCTCATAAGAAAAAAGCAAATCACCACACAAGGTCAAAAGCGTTTTGCTGTCTATCAGCTGTTTCGTAAATAAAATAAATATAAAAGATGGATGCTGAACAACAGGAAAAGTAAATATTTTTGCAATTTGTTAATTTTTTTTATAATTACTGATTTTATTTATTTTCTAGACAAATTCAAAAAGAAATAACAACGCAGGAGGAGCTCCAGTGCTTCACACAGTTTGCAATCCACAACTTGGTGCAAAAGTTTGTATGAAAATGAAATCGTATGTCTGCTCTTGCTCTTCTAAAACTGCCGCAATAACAAGCAAAAACACTGCCATTACTAAATATACTTTTAGTTAAAAAAATCAACACAGACACTGATAGCGAACGAAAATTAACAAAACATTTTTCGATTGCTCAATAAAAATCTGCTGTTTTTCTCTTGTGAGGGTATCATTCGTAAATCATAAATTTTCTGACAATTGTGAGCGTTTGACCTTTTGAATTTACGCCAGCATAGGGATAACCTCATAATAGTCAGAAACCTCACAATAGTGAGTGTGGTGGTTTGTGAGGGCAACAGAATAGGGCTGTAAATTGGATTCCTATTTGAATTAGTATTATTGACTGCATTATCGATGAAAAGGTATATGTCCATGCTAATTTTGCGTTTTCCCTGTATCCTACGCTCTCTGAGTTTTGGTCACTCTTGTCATCGAAAATTCCCTTGATCCGAGTTAAGTTTGGGAATTAACTCTAGGACTTAATCCGGATCAAGTGCAGTTAATTCCCGAGATAATTCCGAATTAACGAGTTGATCCGGATCAACGCTGCCGTCTGTTTATGCTTTGAGATTTAAGTGATTAACAGGTCTATTCTGCACGTTACCGAAGATTTTGTGACCGGAAAATTTTATTACCAAAAAATGTTACCACTTCTTGTCACCGGGATTCTAGGTACGTTGGTAATGCAGTGAAAATATTTGTGGAAGTTCCTGTATTGCATATTTCACGGGGCAATATTTTGTTACCAGCTTATGTGATGGTAACCAAATTTACCGGTTTCAAGAGAGCACAGAATGCGAAAAAGGTTTAAAAATTGGTAGACACTTTAATTACCGGTTATAAAATTTGTTACCTGCGCAGAATAGACCTGTAAGTGGAGTCACTCTTTTTTTAAGTGGAATAACGGTAAATCAAAATCTAAAAATAATCGACAACAAAGTCAAAAATATCAATAACAAAACCAATAAAAATATCGATAAAAAATGTCGATAACATAATCGATAAGAAAAATCGATTAAAAAATTAATAAAAATATCGATAATAGAATTGATAAAAAGATCAACAACAAAATCGATAAATCATCGATAAAAAATCATTAAATAATCGATAAAAATCAATAACAATATTGATAACAAAATCAGTACGAATATCGATAGCAAATTCAATTACTATATCGATAAGTTCCGACAATATCGATATCTAGCGAAATCGATAATAATATCCATAGAAATTCCCATAAAAAAATCTATAAAAATATCCATAACAAAACCGATAAGTCTCTGTGTCTCTACCTATATCATTTTCTGTATAATTACATTTATTTTAATCTTTCTTCCTCTATCTTCATCTTTACTTTTATCGGTATCCTTATCCTCATCCTCATCTTTTCTGTATATTTATTTTTGTTTTTACTTGTATGTTTATCATTTTCTTCATCTACATATTCCCCTTCACCTTTTCCCTTATATAAGTAAAGTGTTTAAATTTACCTTGGCCTTCATTTTTGGCTTTATCTTTACGCATATTTTTTTTGTTTTAATATTAACCTTTGTTTTTATCCTTTTCTTTATCTATGTACGAACTCACCTTTACTTTCATTCTCGGATTGGTCTTTTTCTAAGTCTTATTCTTTAACTATTTATTAGCAAGTTTTTTTTTTTTAATTAATACCATATGCATACACTCAAGAAGCACTTGTTGCTGCCCCAACCACTTCCGTTGCACGATTTGCGTGTGCGATTTTCGCTGAATTTGCCAATTTACTCCAAACCAACCAACCGCCGTTAAAGAAGTTTCACTTCAAAAAATTAACTCGATATTTGGAATCACCGAGCAATTCTACATATCGAGCCCTAACCGCCAAAATAACGTAGCGACATTTTTTTCAAAATTTTCTTTTTGATGCAGAAATATTCCTAGAGCATCTAGATACATTTCTGCATCAAAAGGAAATTTTGAAAAAAATGTCGCTTACGTTATTTTGGCGGTTAAGGCTCGGTATAGTGGCATCCATTGAACATTTTGGCTATAAACCAGTGTAATTATTATTTTTAGCGAAAAAATAACAATCATAAAATAATGATTCAATACTGATTTAAGTTTTTTTACTCATAATGATTACCGTCCCTGATTTAACCGAAAACTTAAAAACGATATACTAAAAAGTCAAAATAACAACTCGTGCTCATATACCAGTAGTTCTGTATGTAATGTATACGCCCTGTAGTACCATACAAAGCCAGCTAACACGTTCACTCGAGCGCGGCGTGATAGACCTTTTTGCCATTGTCTAAAGGAAAGATAAGCTCCGTTTCACAAAAAATGTCTTCGCAAGTGGGCTGGATTTCGAATTTAAAACCAAGGTAGAATACATTGGAAAACGAAGGCTCCGTTATTCTGGAGAAAAAAACAATTGGTGTGTGCTTTTAACCAGACCCACTTGCCGCCATGTATTTCGACCCTCTGAATCCGAATCTGAGGTCCGTTTGACTCGTTATTGCCATTTTTTTGACAATTTTCGCAATTAACTCCAAATTTAGGAGGTGTACGAGTCAAACGGACCTCAATACATGTCGATATGTGGGTCTGGTTAAAAGCAAATACCACTTTTCTTGTGGCCAGTGTTATCGAAGGTTTGGCAAGAGATTCGTTTTCCAATTATTTAAGAAGTTTTAACCGAGCCAAATCTCCATATGGCTGCTACCTCTTCTTCTATGTTGTATAAAAATTTCATAGCGATTACCAGTAGCTCACCACAACAAAATATATACTAATCTTTTCGGATTTTGAGTTATGACAGTATTGAAGTAAATGAACGTTATGCCCATGGGGTAATTTTTAAACATTTTTTAATGTGATTGAGAAAAAAAAAACATTTTTTAACTAAACAAGTTTTTAAAGCGTCCACACTTTTCGGTATTCGTGATATTTACTCAGTACTTGTCAAAAAGTATCGAATTCTCGATACTACTTAGTACTCATGAAAAGCATCGATATTCTGTACTCGGTACTCGTATCGTTCTATCACTACGCACGCCTTAACTTAAAAGTCATATTACACAGTGCGACAGTCAATTTTAGACATACCAAAATCAATATATTCACAAAACTGGGGGCCAAATATAATAAAACTGCGATTTTAGTTTTTCTCCCTGGCGTCAGCAGTTTTTTTAAAAAGACTTTGAAATTTTTAGAATAAGGTTGACTAAAAAAATTATTCAAAAGCTTCGTTGCATTGTAGAATAACAATATGGGTATCAATTAAAAGGAAAAATTCTGTAGAATAGAAAAAAATAATTAAATTTTGGGTGCACCAGGAAGAATAAGTATTGAAAATGTCCCTTTAATACTTTACCCTTGAATATCCTTGGAAATTTCTAATATTTATTTTTGGAAAAAATATATGTCAAGGACTAATATATTTACTACCACATGCTCGAATTTTGTCCTTTTGGCTTTATTAGTTTTATATAAAAAAAATTTAGACTTCCCTTGATAAGATATTGATAGTTACAATATGCATAAAAAAGATATTGGAATCAATATTATGGAACCATGTATGCGCTCTAAAAGAACAAACTGACCGTAGG